CCCCAAAACCCCAAAACCCCAAAACCCCAAATTGGAGATATGATTTAGATAAAAGTGAGGATGATAAAACCTCGAAACTTAGCAATGATTCTTGACTGAAAATTTTTTGTGGATTGCGTTCAAAAATATATAAATCTTGATTTTTCTTTGTAAAATTGAAGCTAGGCATATCCAAACTTATGGGAAAGCATTAAAACATGTAATACTTCTGTAAATAATCTTGCCTACTATAAGCTTCTTCATTTCCACCAATCTTGACTTTAATGGGCCATCGGTATATTCGTAAGACCAGTGAAAGTTAAAAATTTGGACATGGTCACATAATATTAATCCATTTAGAAGGAGTCAAATGGCAAGAATCAAAGGACGGCAAAATGCAAAAAAGACAAGGAGTAGGGTTGTCAAAAAACCTTGTGATGCATTGACTTCGCAATTCGTATCCGGATATACTTATGAAGATGAAGATATGACAGACGTTGAAGTAGAAAAGGTTCCAAAAGATATAAAAGACATAAAAACTATAAAAGAAGACTGAATTGTAGTGAGTGATACAGAAAAATTACCCTTCGTAGAGCATAATCCTCTCTTCATGGATTATAGCCAAGATTGTACACCTCTAAAAACTACGGAAGTAGAGCCTAAGGCTGAAGAATCCAAGAAATGAGAACCAAAGCAGGAAGATATTAAAGTGGACAAAGATGATGATGTATCTGAAGGAGCGGAAGAGTCCCTTAAAAAGGTCATAAACTTTACTTCCTCACAGACTTGCTGAGTTTGCCTGAACGCCGATCAAACTTTCGATGACTTGTTGATTAAATGCTCTCGCTGATGCATTGTTTTCCACCAAGAATGACATCCCTCATACAATGAAAAGAAGATGATGTGTGAAAAATGTGAATACATAACTGAGAATAAAGTCAAGGCAAGAGATATTAAGTGAAAATTATGTCCGAGAAAAGAAGGATGCATGACCAGATTCAATGATAAAGAGTGGGTCCACCCAACTTGAGTAAATTGGATCCCTGAAATCTGGTTTAATGATGAAAAGTAAGTTGGATTAGTTAATATTCTATAGTGATAAGATAGAGAATTTGTCCCAGTTAGACTTTGAGAATGACCTCAAATCATGTTCAATCTGTAGACGCAAGGAGAAGATTACCATACAGGTAAGTTTTAGACCGTTTTATATATTATAGTGTGATTATGACAACTGCCAGAAATGGTTCCATGTCTCATGTGCAATTAAGAATAAGTTGATATTTGATCATAAGAAGATGGAAGAAGAATTTCAGAAATTACACGAGCAGTGACCTACTAAGTACTTCCCACAAAGAAGCCTGCTCCAAAACCCAAAATTGCCAAAATCCCAGTCAGGCACAGACTTACGTACAAAGAGGCCCTCCTGTCTTCTTTAACAGTGCCTTGTTCTTCCTGCCTCACCTTGCAGAGCAAGGTGAGGAAGTTACAGCAAGGAATTGATAAATGTTTGGGAGTAATTATCACTCAACCTCTTCCCTTCCTTAAATCCCTATCAATCTAACCACACTCTTCTCCAAATCTACATCTTTCAAACTCCATCCTTCTTCAAAAATCTCACTACATCCTCCCTCAATTTCTTCTTCCAAAAATGGGGTTTTGGGGTTTTGGGGTTTTGGGGTTTTGGGG